AGGTTTACCACTTTTCCCTATTCGCCGCCCTCTGTCCATTCATCGCAGGGGTGCCTGGCGTGCTAGAGTATTACGGTTTTGGTTTTGATCGAAGACGCCTACGGCGAATCACCGCCGCCCCCTGCCTTTGTGGAAGCGCCTATGTGTCCGAACGTTGAGGTCAGACCTGCCAAGCCATCGGACCATGTGTTCCCCGAATCGGTTTGGAAAGCCTTCGGGGAACGCGTGGGCATCTTGAAGGTCATCTTGGCCGTCTTGGAGGCCTCTTGGGCGATCTTTCGACTATCTTCGGGGGCTCTTGGGCCGTCTCGGGCCGTCGGAAGGCCGAAAAGAAGGAAATGTCAAAATCCGTCGAATACCTTAGTAAAATCAATGTTTTTGGCCTCTTCTGGCCTTCCTGGAGGCCCTCTTGGGGGCCTCTTGGACCCTCTTGGGCCAGCTTCGAGCCAACTTCGGCCATCTTGGTGGGTTCCTGGCACGTCTGACGCCGTCGGGAGCCGTCTTGGGCATCACATGTCGAAGGCCCGCGCGGACTCCGTGTGCCAGCGCTGGACACCTTTTGCCTGGCAGGCCTGAGCTGGAGAGCATCGCGAAACAAGATCGCATCGGAAACGACTCGGAAACGAGATCGGATCGGATCGGATCGGAACTGATATCGGATCGGATCGGAGAACTGAGATCGGATCGGAAACGGAGAACTCGCGATAGCTTCCTGAACTGAGATCGGATCGGAAACGGATCGCACCGACAACGAACCGACCCGAAACGACCAAACATCGGATCGCCGCGCCGCGCCTGGCTCCGGCTCACCCCGGCCGATGCCGGAGGCTCGCATTGGGGCAGCCAAGAGCTGCTGATGCCGCTCCTCCCCAGACCACTCCCCGTGTTCGTCCTGGCAAGAATCTCGCGGCGAATCCAGCCGTGGCGACGAGGGCCTCCCAGGAGGCCCAGAGGGCGAACAAGGGGCGGTGGGGAGCGGTATCGGTACTCCAGATGTCGTAATAAAAGGGAGGGGGTCTGGACCCTCCAAGACAAGCCATTTCAGACCCCCCCTCGTGGGAGAACCCCCCAAAACATCGTCCCCAGACCCCGCCAGGCCCTCCAAGATAGCCTGGAAGAGAACCCCCCCCGAAATGAGACCCCCCTCCCTTGATTACGAAATCTGGAGCACCTTTCCCTCCTCCAGCGAACCGCACCGACGCGACTCGTGATTCGGAATCGCGCGGCCCCCCAGGCGGCGAGTCGCATCGCCTCGGATCGGGTCGTCGGCGGCCCAGGCGAGGTTGACGAAAGCGCCCACATCTGGCCCGTAAAGACGGCGAAAGCGTCGTCGTCGTCGTGATCGTCGCCATCTGCCTGGGTAGTCGAAGCCAATCTGGCGCCAATCTGGCAGGCCCAATCTGGCAAACGGGGGCAATCTGACGAGGGAGCCAACGCGAATCCAGTCTGGCGAATAACCCCAATCATAACCCCAATCCTCCAAATTGACCAGGCCAGATTGGCCCTTGGGGCCCAATCCAATCTGACAGTCTGGCCTTCGACTACCCAGTCTGCCTCACCCATCGTCGAAAACGGCTGTGGTCGTCGTTCTGGCCGCACGTGTGACGTCTTCGTCGACCTCGCTCGTCGTCGGCTTCGTTCCGCCGCCGCCGCGGCCGTCGTCGTCGCCGTCGTCGTCGCCATTGTCGCCGTCGTCGCCGTCGTCGCCGCCGCCGTCGCCGCCGCCGCCGCCGCCGCCGCCGTCGTCGTCGTCGTCGTCGTCGTCGTCGTCGTCGTCGTCGTCTTGCAAAGATCGCATCAGATCGTCGGCGGCCCTGGCAGCCCAGCGGTGCCCGAGCGCGCGCGGCCCGCGAGCGGCGGCTCCTGCGAAGGCGAGACCGCTCCGTCGCACGGCGGGGGGTCCATGCCTGCGGGCGCCGCCGACGCCGACGACGGCGACGAGACGACGACGCTGACGACGGCGACGAGACGACGAAGACGACGACGTCGACGACAACGACCACTCTGATCTAGGGGGGTCCATCTGGGCGCCGCTGACGCCGACGACGGCGCCCGTCGCCGACGACACTTAGTTTGATGAACGTCAAATGACATAAATGTGGGGAGGTCCTCGCCGACATTTTGGATTAGCACTGGATCACATCCCTGGAACATGTTTTTAATTTTCCGCGATAGCAGCCGTCACCGGCACCGCGCCCACATTCCGCGCTGGCGGCGTCCAGGTATGCCTAGGGATGACCGAAGACACATAGAAACACCATGTAGGTTGCGATCTGCACCACGGCGCCTGTGTACACCACGCTGTTCGCGTGCACCACAGCGCGCGTGTACACCACAGCGTTTGTGTACACCGTAGCAGCTGTGTGCAACGCCACTCCTGTGTACACCACAATGTTTGCGTGCACCGCAGCGCCCGTATACACCACAGCGAATGTGACACCGCAGCAGCCGTCTGCAACCAGCACTTGTGTACACCACAATGCTTCCGTGCACCGCAGCGCCTGTTTTTCTGTTTTTTTTTGGGGGGGGGGGGGGCAAGGCCCCAGGAACACGGCGGTGACCGACGCCCCCTGCGCACGGACACCCGCCGCCGCCGACGACGCGTGGGCCGTTGCGGCTCGGGGCGGCCGCCGACGACGCGTGGGCCGTCGCGGCGACGCCCGCCGCCGCCGACGACTCGTGGGCCGTGGCGGCGCAGGGAGCCGCCGACGACGCATGGGCCGTCGCTGCGGGCGCGCGAGTGGCGCTGAAGAGCCGAGCGGCTAGCCCAGTCGCGCGGCGGCGGTGGCGGCGCTCGGGAGGCCTGGTGCCTCGCCAGCGGCCGCGCCGTCGGCGAGGCGAGCCGAGGCGGCGGGGTGCTGACCTCGCCGAATGCGGTCAGCCCGAAAACGTCGGATGCGCCCGGCCTCGCCCACGTGCGGGGCGCACTGGGCCGCTAATGCACTGATGCTGCCGAGGCGTTCCCTGGCGTAGGCGTGACACCTCGCGCACAGCACGTAGCCGAAGGCGCGCTGCACGATGTGGCCGAGAGCATCGCGCGCCCGCGGCGGGCCGTCCTCGGCGTCGGTCTCGCCCCCAGCAGGCACCGCTGGTCCCGCCGACGGCTGCGCCTTGGCGGGCCGTGGGGATCGGGGCCTCGCAGCTGCCTCCGAGGTCCCCCCGCGGGCGGCCGTGGCTCCGACCTGGCCGCTGGCCGCGGCGGCGCCCTGGGCCGCGGCGCCCCCCTCTGGGGCAGGCGGCGGACCCCGCGAGCTCGACGCTGAGCCCTGGCCGCGGGCCGAGCCAACCTCGCCTGCGGTCGCGGGCCCCTGCCCCACCGCACTCGGCGCGGGGTCCTGGCCCCGACCGGGCCCGAACACTCCTGGTTGGCAGTCGGCGCCGTCGGCGGCTGCCGCGGCTGCCGCCGCCGCCGCCGCGATGGCCGCGCCTGCTGCCGCGCTGGACGGCGCCGCCTTCCTGGCCGCTGAGGCGATCTCGGGGGCGCGCGGGGGCCGATGCAGCACCTGCTTCGACTTCTTGGTCCGCGCCGTGCGCAGTCGCGCCGTGCAGTGCCAGGAGCCCGAACCGAGCGTGCCGAAGGTGCGCTGGGTGAGGAGGAGGAGGAGGTCCTTGTTGGCCTCGTCGCCGGCCACGTAGCCGCGCATGCTGTCGAGCCTGTCGGCGGCCGCTGGAGCGCCGGCCGCGGCCGCCCAGTGCGCGACGCCGTCGACGAGGAGCTGGGCGCGCAGCTGCCTCTGTCTCTCGGCCGAGGGGGCGCGCAGGTGGTGGGCGATCCCTCCTGCGACATGGTCGGCCTCGTAGTTGCCGCGGCGCCGCTTCCGCGTGATGATGCCGCGGGTGACATGGGCGGTGGTGGTGTGGCCCATGATCTTGGCGATCGTGAGCCCCGCTGGGCCTGCGCCGCCGAAGTCGTGGAGTCCTTGCCACGCCTGCCGCCGGATATGCCCCCGCGCTGAGGGCGCCAGCGTCGCGCGGGCTTCGCCCCGTAGGTTGGTGCCGTCGACGACGCAGCTGGCGTCGCAGTGCAGCTCGATGGGCGGGATGACATGCCGCAGGACGATGAGCGCCACCAGCAGCTCCGCGCCCTCGATGCTCTGCCAGGGCCCAACCAGCGGCGCGCCCAGCGCCTTGGCGCGGCTGCCAACGCCTGGATCGACTTCCTCGGGGCCTGGAGGTAGCTCGACGACCGCTGCCGCGGCCTGCGCACCGTGGCCCTCGGCCAGCAGCGCATCGCACAATGGGCCGTCGCAGCGCAGTGGCTGGCCGACGAACGGATCGCCTGGATCACCGCGACGCCAGCGGAGGTGGTCGAGGACGCCGCCGCTGGGAGGCCTCCTCTAAAGCTGCTGGGCTGGAAACAGGATGCGCTCGACAAGGCGCTTGACAACCAAGTTGTCCTTCTGCGGCAGCAGCAGGGCGATCTCGTTCGGGAGGCCGAGGCCGTGGTCCTGGATGGCGCTGCAACAGAGGTGCCTGTGCCAGGAGGTCGCCGACGTGGTTGGGGCAGAGCTCGCAGGTGTCCGAGGGGGCGCGCCTCGGGTTGTTGCCGTACTTCCTGGCGTTGGTCCACTGGCCGTCGACGTTGCAGGACCTGAGGTAGCCGCGCTGCTCGCTGCTGAGGCTGGGCCAGCTCCGTGCGTCGTGGGAGGTGCCGCGGCCGCTGGCCGTCTACCGCCGAAGCTGGCCGAAATTGATGCCGACGTCGAGCCGGGGGAGGCGTCGTGCTTGCTGAGCTGCTTGGCCTGCCAGTGCTCGCAGCTGCTACCGAGCAGCTTCTTGGTTAGCCACGGGCTGGCGTCGCTGGCGCTGCGGTGAGAGCCGTCGTGCGTGGCCCATGCATCGAGCGAGGCCGCCTCCCAGCCCATGCGGCGCATGGGCAGGAGAGCGGCCTCCACGGGGCCGCGGCAGCCCAGCTGCCCGGCGCTGCGAAGGCCGCCGCGAAGGCTTGCCCAGGGCCTGTCTGGGGAGCCACCGCTGCCAGACAGCCCTGCGCAGCGTGCGCACTGGGTCGCACGTTGCCTTGAACGCGGGGTCGTAGTCCCCGCTGGTGGTGGCGAGGACGGCGGTGCGACTTTTGCCTGAGGGCCTGATCTCGACTGATCCATCTGAACGCCATCGTGCGCGCGGTGTCGAGGTCGGCGTCGCTGAGCCCCGCGCAGCAGACGCCGTCGGCAAAAGCTGGCCTCGACCCCCTGCTTGAAAATCCCCTCTGCGACATGGAGCGGCGCCCTGGGCCCAAGAGCCGCCTGAGGCGCGGGGCCCGCCTCGCGGCCTGCTCGAGGCGGTGCCGACGGACGAGCCTGGGCGCCCGTCCAGCCAGGGCGCAATCCACTCCAAGGTTGCGGGCGGCCTGGGCCAGGCGGCCCTCGAGCGCCGCGGCCGCCGTGGGCGCGTCGGCCAGCAGGAGGGAACTCTTGGTGGTGACGTGGATGTCCACCGTGCGCAGCTCGCTGACGACGCTGGCGGCACTGGCGACGAGGTCGTCGGTCACGCGCCTGCTGCCTCCCACTTGCTGGAAGACCAGGTCGTCGACCGCGACTGACGGGGCGATGCTCGACGAGGCCCGCAGGGCGCGGTCGAGCGGGCTGAGGGGGGTGAGCTTCATGAAGGAGGTGGCCCACATGTCCCCTGCGAGGACCGTCTGCTGAACTCCGATTAGGTCCGAGACCCCGCCGTTGAGCTCCAGCGCCCGCGGCAAGCGGTCAAGGGAGACTTGGAGCTTCACCGCCCCGACTGGGAAGTCGTGCTGCACGGCGGCGTCGATGAGGTGCTGGCGCCTCAGCTGCCCAAGGCCTTCCACAAGTCAAGGATGACCGCCGCTGAACTCCAGCCGCTGTCGTCGAGGGCGTCGAAGTCGCGGGGGCGGAACGCGTCGAAGCACGCGCCTGTGCTGGCGGCGAAGCTGCGAAAGACCTCGCGCGCGCGTTTGACGGTTGGCCGCGGCGGCCGCTCGCCAAGGTCGGCGGGCCACTGCAGCGGCGCCACGTGGGCGCCGACGTTCCAGTAAAGCGTCCACTCATTGACGAGCAGCTCGGCGCAGGTCTGCTGGTCGGCAGGGACTGGCAGCGGCGGCCCGTCCTCGCCGTCGGGCGCGTCGGCGGCCGGCGGGCGAGGGTGCCTGGGCATGCGCTCGCGCGTGAAGGCATGCAACTCCTTGCCGCCCAGCGCGTGCTGCTGGTCGATCCAATTTCCAAAGCGCTGACTCGCCAGTCTCATGGCGTGCTCGATGTGCTTCTTGGAAATGACGCTGACGAGCTCCGCGAGGCACCCTGCCGACGGCACGTCGACGGCGTCGAAGACGCTTTCGATGAGAGACAGCGCCTTGTACGCGTCGATCCGCTGCTGGTCGGCCATGGTCCGTCGGTGCGGGGCGGCGTCCTGGAGCAGAGCCTGCGCAGGCTGAGCAGCCCGTCGAGGCGCGAGTGCGCGGCGCTCAGCGAGGCGGCCCTGCGCGCCTCGAACACCCGCTGGGAGATCCACTGCGTGCTAGTGTCCAACTTGGGGTGCCTGGGAAGGTTGGGCTTGCTGGCGAACACCCACTGCAACGTGGGCGTCTCCTCCCTGCCGCGGCACTTGCTGCCCTGCTCGCCAAGGCCGCACCGATCGATCAGGACCGTCTCAATCAGCCTGATGACGTTCTTCCAAGCCTCGTCGACAGAGTCCGCGCTGGCGATCTTGGAGCGGACGTCGGCCCAAGCAGGCTCGTAGTCCTGGGGGCAGCAGCCCAATGGAAGCGGCCGTGGGAAGGGCTCGGGCGCTCGCGCGGCATGGATCCAGGGTTGGGCCTCCTGGGTGGCACTCTCGAGAAGAACGGGCCTATGCGGCCCGAAGTCGCAGTCGAGGAGCGTGGTGGCGGTGGCCGACGCCAGGCACGGCGAGACCACGAAGTAGTCGATCACGCGCTCCGAAGGCCTGACGGTGCCGACTGTCGGGCTGGTGACCACGCCGTTGATGTGCCTGGGCCACGCGGCCTCGGAAATCTTCTGCGGCGTCATGCTGAAGACGCCGTCGATGATGAAGGGAAGGCCAAGGCACCGTACGGCCGACCTCACAGCATTTAAAATGAGGAGGTTGGTAGACGTCGATCCACACTATATCCCCCCTGATGACACCGCTATGGGGCGCGATGGGCGCTCGGCCTGGGACGAGCACGCCGCTGCGCAGCCCATCGACTTCGAAACACCCGAGGCCGTGGCGCGTGGGGGCGAGGCTGATCAGGCCTCCATGGCCTGGGCGGCCACCGTCAGCGTCGGCGGCAGGGGCGGCGAATTATGGCCTGCCAGCCTTGGCGGCCCAGCCGAGCTGCCACCTCGGCAACGCGGTCGGTGGAGAGGTCTCCTGAGCGGCGACGAAGTCGCACTGCCTGAGGCCATCCTTGTCCAGCAGCTGTACACCGCAGCCCCTGTGCATACCACAGCGCCTCTGTACACTACAACATCCGCGTGCAACGCAACGCTGGCGTACACCATAACGCCTGCGTGCACAGGACAAGTAAAAAGAACAAGTCGGTGAAGATCTGCTGCGGACGCCTACAGTCGAAATCTACAGTAAGGACGGGCGGTAAGGACCCAAACGCCTTGGATGCCGAAATTTGCTTTTTGGGCGGCGAGTTGTCCATACCCCGAAGGGCTGAGGCAAGGACGCAATGGTACCCCAGGACATCCGTGCGTCCATACCACGAATTCTGCCACGCATGGAGGACTGCGGATAACATGCGATTTTCCTCGCGCTCCCATGCCACAGCGCCTCCCGCTGCACTGCCTCCAAAGTGGCCCACGCCCCAAAATAATTTTTTCAAACGTTAGAATGATGCGGGGGGGGGGCTCGACAGGATTCGTTCGTTTTTTCCATACGGACTGTTGTTCTAAACCCTATCTAAAGAGGTTCCGTGGATTGCGCAGGCGCTGCGTTTTGTCATGAGAGTTGTTCTCGACCTTCTATATGCAGCCGTGGTGTTTTGTTGCACACGGTTGTTGTGGTGCACGCAGGCGCCGTGGTGTACACAAGCGCTGTGATGCACGCAAGCACTGTGACGTGCTGTGTTGCACCACGCGGCTGATGTGGTGTACGCACGCGCTGCGGTGTACATAAGCGTTGTGGTGCACGCTGGCACTGTGGCGCACGTTGGCCCTATGTTGCACGCGGCTGCTGTGGTAGACGTAGGCGCTCTGGTGTACACAGGCGCTGTGATGCACGCGGGCACTGTGGTGCAGATCGCCACCTGAATGCTGCTGCTACCAGTCCTCAGTCATTCTTAAGCATTCCGAAAAGCCGCCGGCGCGAAACGTGACGTCACGGGCTCCTCTCCCCCCCCCTTCCCCCAGGGACGGCCGTCATGGCCCCAGCAGACACAACAGCCAAAAGCTCCTGGCGCGCGGAGGGCGTCGGGGGCGGCGCTGGAGGCGCTGCCAGGGGGCTCCAGCGCCGATCCGAGCGATCCGCGCGGAAGTCACCAAGTTCCTGCTCGCGACGTGGCCACGAGCGACGGCGACGAGGCCACAGCAGCGGCGGCGACGGCGCCGACGACGGCGGCGGCCGCCGGGAGCCACCCGAGGGGGCGCCGGCGGCGCGCCCGCCCCCCGGCGGGGGCGGCGCGCGGGGGGGCGCAGAGCGGCGTGGGCGAGGAGGGGCGCTGGGGCCTCGTGCACACCCACGGTGCCTGGCCAGAGCCGTCCTTAGGGAAACAAAAAGTGTCAAAAAGTGAATTTCTTTATTCCTTGTCGCAAAATCCCCCTGTAGGGGGACACGCCCGACTCAAGCCCAGGCCCCAGGATTAGGGAAACAAAAAGTGACATAAACATAAAAACTCGGAGGTCCGCGCGGATTTCTGTGATCGGTGCTGGACCCTCCCTGGCGCGCTCGCCGCGGCGCCAGGGGCGCCGCCGGGGGGGCCCAGCGCCGATCCGAGGAATCCGCGCGGCCCTCAGAGTTTTTATGTTTATGCAATGTTTTGTTCCCCTAACCACGGTGCCTGGCCAGAGCCGTCCTGGTCCTGTGCCGCGGGGTGGCGTAGGTGCCCTCCTGGCCTCGGCCAGGGGGGGCGCATGGTGGTCGTGCGGGTTCGCAGGGCGGAAATCATGGGGACGATGGCTAACTGAAAGTGCCGTCCAACACCAGCAGCGGCCGCGGTTGGGTGAGCGCCTCGCGTCACAAACGCACGACTCCTGCGGCGACTCCGACAACGAATCCTGCTCTGAAAGAGCAGGGTCCAAAGGGGGCCCAAGGAGACACACATCAATCGATACTGATTCCACGCATTCCCACATGTTCCAAATTTCCCAGACGGTCATGTTCCCCTCCACTTCTGTTGGTTCCTCACGCTTTCAAAGGCATATGCGTTTGTCGTGCTCGGGCCGGTTTTTGCCCACTGAGTCCCCTTCTCACGAGGCGGGAATCCATCCCCAACCACAGCCTGGGGAGATGGACCCTCGGGGACATCGGCAGGCGGCCTACGTGGATAGGGCCCCCAGGGGGGGGGGACCAGACGTGTCCACATCCACCGCCTGCCGATGCCCCCGAGGATCGATCTCCCTGGGCGGTGCTCTGGACAAATCCTGGCCTCGGACTTCTACGCGGCCGCCGAGTGGGCTCGATCCTGGGCCCGTTCGGCGGCCGCATCGGGCAAAGGCGCTGAGAACGGGGGGCTCGCCGCCACGCAGAGTGCTTCGCTGGCACGCCGGCGGATGTGCAGACCTCTTCACCCCCCCCTTCCTTCTTTCCTGCCCCCCCTCGGCGTCCACCTCCTCTCCTCATCCTGCGCCTCCGCCTCCGCCTCCTCCTCCTCCTCCTCCTCCTCCGCCTCCTCCTCCTCCTCCTCCTCCTCCTCCTCCTCCTCCTCCTCCCGTTCCTTCTCTAACTTGGCCAGCGGAACAGGCCGTGGGGAAAAGGGCCGCCGCCACCCGGGCCGCCTGCCCCTCGAGGCCCCCTGGTGGCCTCGCCGCTGCCCAGCTCGCCCCCTGCGGCTCCGAGGGGGAGGCCCCCGGAGGCGCCGGCGCGCTCCCTCGGGGGGTGGGCATCTCGGCCGGGCAAAAGGGCAGGCTGAGGTCGGGCCTGCCCCCCTACAGGGGGATTGTCGACGAAAAAGAAAAAGAATAGCCAAGCAATGCCCTGACGTATTCAGACATGGTCAGAACATCCTCCCCAGACAGTTTTTATCATGCTTAAAAACTATGTTTGAAGATTGCCCCTGCAGAGGGACAGGCCCGACGGAAGGGTAGGCTCGGAGGAGGGCTGGGAGGGTCGGGAGGAGCATGGTGCCGAGAACGAGGAGGAGGGCAGAGGAACCGCGGGAGGGTGATGAGGAAGGACGGGACGGGGAGGAGGGTAAAACGACGCGAAGATCGGGACAAAATCGGATCGGGATAACTCGAAATCTATGAGAATCTGCGGGTTTGGAGGATGTATTGGGCGCCGCGGCAGCTCCAGAGCGTTCCGGAACGCTCTGAGAGCGCTCCGGAACGCTCTGGAGCGATTTATCCCGATCCTAGCCCTGTTTTAGAGGGGCAGGGGGAGGAGCACGGTGCCGAGAACGAGGAGGAAGGGGGCAGAGGAACCGCGGGAGGGTGAGGAGGAAGGACGGGACGGGGAGGAGGGGCAGGGGGAGGAGCGCGCTAAGAAAGGGGGATAAGAGGGGACGGGGAGGAGGAGGGGGAGGAGGAGGAGGAGGAGGGGCAGGGGGAGGAGGAGGGGGAGGAGGAGGACGGGGAGGAGGGGCAGGGGGAGGAGGGGCAGGGGGATAAGAAAGGAAACCAGAGGTGGAGGTCGCATGGCCCGGCCCGCTGCTCTTCTGCGGTGCGCAAGGCGCCACCACGCTCACGACTGGAGAGACCACCGCGGGCCGATCAGTGGAGCAAGGGACCGACCGTCCCAGCATTCCTAGAGGCCTACCACGAACTGTTTTAGAACCGAACAAGGTTTTCTGAAACCAACAACAATTTTCTTAGACAATTAACACGATGTGAAAACAAAAACAAAAAGTCCCAGCATGAAATGTTCTAATAACATTTCGTCGAACCCACAAAAAGTTCTTAGAACATTCGTTGGTGGGCCTATCGGCGAGCCAGGACGCTTCGCCACTGCTTGAATCATAGAGTCGTCCACTCCCAGAGGCACTACGCCCAGTAAGCCACCATGCGGCGCGACCCTCCGAACCGACTGCTCGGACCCTGCCCAAGGCAGCCCGGAGACACGCGACGACGCGCAGCTCCTCGGCTCACGCAGACGGCCTGCCCGGCGCCTCCCGGCGCCCCTGGGCGGCGCAGGCGCCCACATGCACCGAGGACAGCGCGGGGTGCTGGGGCCGATTCGGGGTCCACTGAGCCGGATTAGGTCGCGGATTCTGCCGGAATGAACGGGATGTTGCCGGATCAAGCGGGATTCAGCGGTTTACCAAAAATGATTGAGCTGATCTGGGTCAGTTTTCGACCAGGGGCATTTGGCTCCACAAAAGCTTCCTCGACAACAAGCACTGAAAATGTATTTGCAAGCGTGCCCTCGGGAAGATGACACGTTGCTCGCGTGCTCAAAGCTCGCCTGGAGACGATCCCAAGATGACCCCATGACCACAACATGGCTAGCTCCAAGAGAGCTCAGACCACAGACGATGAAGTCCAGGCGACACTGGGATGACGCCGCCCCAACATGATCCCAATATGGCTTCACGATTGTCTCAGGCCGATTCTCCGATGGTCCAATCTACGAACAACACGTGACCCCGAGATGGTAATTACGATGGCCACAGGGTGAATGCAGGCGTGGCCGATGTGGCCCCAAAATGACCCGACGACGTCCACGTGATTCAACAATGAGTCGGAACCGATCTCAAGATGATCCCAACAAGGCCTCAAGACGATCCCAACACTGCAGGGAGGCTGTGGGCAATGTTTCAGCCCCATGCTACGTCGTGCCGATCCCAGGGTGACGGGATCTGGGAACGACGCTGGATCTTGGTTTACCCTTTGTTTAGTGGGTGGGATCTTGACTCGGCTGCACTAGAACTTCTATCATTGGAAGGGATTGAGTCAGGCGGGATCCCGCCCACCCCATGCAAGAAGGCTGCCTTGACAGGCGTCTTGCGGGTAGGGGGGCTCGGAAGGGACGTCCCTTACAGTCAACTCGCATAGTTCGATGATCTTCAGAACGTGTGTTAGCGCCAACGTGTGTTTGCCCAATGAGGACCTTCAATACGACGAAGGCGATGTGATGATCGACTGGTTGGGCTGAACGGGGTACACACACATTGCGCTAACATACGTCCTGATGATCATCGAATAGTAAGGATGGCCAAACTTCCCGAGGGTACCCTTGCATCCTTGCCTCCTCGGTCCATCCTTGGCCACTTTCGTTGGTCGCGCCCCGCTCGAAACGCATCCTTTTCGTGCGTCCTTTCATACGGGTTGACTGTACTTCCGCCGGCCTTCCGCCGATTTCGGCAGCGCCTTGTTTCCGCCGCCCTCTGCTGACGAGCGCCGTGGTGAATGAATCGAGGGACTCTCACTGGGCAGATGTACACCAGCACCGACTCAGAATTTGACCTCTCAGGAGTTGCATCCTAAGTGATCAGTCATCGCCCCCCTCTTGGACGCCCCCGAGAGACATTGGCGATGATCGAAGTCAGCCAAATTGGGAGAAGTCGAATCGGCGGAAATCCGCGAGCCAGTAGGCCTCCGGAACCCAACGCCGAATCGAATCGGAACCAGAAGCCATCGAAATCGAATCGAATCGAATCGAGCCCTGCTCTTGTCGGCGACTCCGAAATGGTGGTTTGCAAAGAGTGTGGTTAGCAGACGGCACCCTGTGGGGCACCCTGGGGGGGCGGGCGGGGACCTCGACAGAGTTCTCCGCCACGCTCCGAGGAGGCCCGATGAGGACAGCGTCGTGCCCCCCCGGGCCGAAACGGCGCCGATCGCATAGCACCCCCAAGCACAACCCCACCCACTGTGGTCGCCGGCCTTGGACGCTCCCCAGGAAACAGCGCCTCCCCGCACCCCTTACGGTGCGGGCGGGGGCCGCAAGACACCCTCGCAAGAGAAACCTGATCCCGAAAACCCGCGCGCGAGGTGCGCCCGAGGGGAAGCCCGGAGCACCCTGAGAGCAGCAGCTTCTTCAACGGCTGCGGGAGGTCACCGCGCAGCGCGCGGAGCGAAGATTCAGAAACCCAGAGCACCCTGACGAAAAGCATATAGTTTCTGGATGCCCGCCCCAACTTTACCGCCTCCCCTGGGTTATGTTGCATCCTTGGGGGACCTTGTCTGTCCCGTCGCGGCTCCATCCGCGACGAGTCCGTGTCGGACCCATGTCGGCCCCGTCGGATCTGTGTCAAACCCGTGTCGAATCCGCGTCGAATGTACCACGAATCCGCGTCGAGTCCGCGTCGGGGACAAGAGACGACCCCAGGAGCAGGAGCAGGAGCAGGAGCAGTGGAGGAGGAGGAGCAGGAGCGGGAGCAGGAGCAGGAGGAGGAGGAGGAGGAGGAGGAGGAGGAGGAGGAGCAGGAGGAGCAGGAGGAGGAGGAGGAGGAGCAGGAGGAGCAGGAGGAGGAGGAGGAGAGGAGAGGGAGGGAGAGAGCAGGAGGAGGAGAGGAGCAGGAGGAGGGAGCAGGAGGCAGGAGGGGAGGAGCAGGAGCAGGAGTCAGGAGTCGAAGAGAGGGCAGGCGAGGCCACCCCGAAGCTGCAGCGCAGCCTGGGGCGGCGGCCCCTCCCGCCGCGCCTCCGAGCCCAGCCGCCGCGCGCGCCGCGCCCCCCCCCCCCCCGGGCCCCCCCCCCGCGCGAAACCCGCGGGGCGGGGCACCCCTCGCAGGCCAAGGCCTCGAGCCACCGGGGGTGGGCTCCTCCTCCTCCTCGTCCTTCCCCCTCCTCCTCCTCTCCTCCTCCTCCTCCTCCTCCTCCTCCTCCTCTCCCTCCTCCTTCTCCTCCTCCTCCTCCTCCTCCTCCTCCTCCTCCTCCTCCTCCTCCTCCTCCTCCTCCGCATGCCTGAAGGTTAAATCTTACGAGTCCATACACGCCAGTCGGAAGAAGTAGGTAGGAACACGAAGTAGGAAGGCGGATTGAAGTAAATTGGGTTCGGGCCCGCCCCAAAGAGTAACAAGCAACAGCCACACCATATCGATTATTGGAGTAGGAAGGCGCTTGAAGTGGGCGCGCCGGGGACTTGGAGTCCCCGAACGGTGCGGTGACAGACCGTGCGGTGACATCGAGATCCTCCAAGACCTCACCGCACGGTCCGTCCACGCACGGTCTTGGGGCCTCGGATGCCCCTGTCGCCCGAAACATCCTCGGAGAGTCGGGGATGGACATACCTCCCTTTAGTAAAACGTGGTTTAGTGAAAACGACCTCGGGCCCAAACCTGGCGGGCGCAAGCATGGAAAATGACGACCACGGCGCCCTCTCGAGAACCGAAAGCGGACAATTCACGAATCGACGTGTCACTGCTGGGGGCTCTGTCCACCCCCGAGAGAGGAACTCGAGTCCCGAAGCCGTGCGGTGACCCGGAATCCCCACCGACGCACCGCACGCTGTGGTCACCACAGCGTTTGGCGGCCCCCGCGGTGAGGAGGCCGAAGGGCCAGAGGGCCGAGGGTCCAGAGGGCCTCGAGGCCATCGATGAGCAACCGCTGCCCTGGAAGGCCGAAGGGCTGGAGGGGCCAGAGGGGTCGAGGGGCCAGGGTCGCGGCGGCGAGGAGGGGAGGTACCTCCTCCTCCTCCTCCTCCTCTTCCTCCCTCCTCCCTCCTCCCTCCTCCCTCCTCCCTTCCCTCCTCCCTCCTCCCTCCTCCCTCCTCCCTCCTCCCTCCTCCCTCCTCCCCCTCCTCCTCCTCCTCCTCCTCCTCCTCCTCCTCCTCCTCCTTCGTCGCCGCGCTTTCTCGCCTCGTCGGGCTGGCCGGGAGGCCCGCGTGGCCGCGGCCGGATACGCCTCGGAGTTTTCTGGCCTGAGCGCACTGGGAGAGGGGTGCGGGGATAGAGGCCTCCTGGATGGGGTCCGAGCAGATGGGGTCGAAGGATCG